TTGCACGAATAATGATTGGTAAAAAATTACATTGAAAAGAGAGAGCAAGAAAATTTGAAATTTGATTCCAAAATATTTGACGAGCTAAAAAAAAAATAATAATCTTATTAACAGTCGCCATATTCCCACATATATTTGATATACGTATATACGCATATAGAAATCCAGCCCTGAGCATATCCAGGGTAATTATAGTAAAATTGAAAGGAACAAAAAGTGAAAGCACGGATGCGTCGGGGGGATGAAAATAATTTTGACATAAAATAATTCAGGGATTCCGCCCCTGCCAAGGAAGGCAGCCTTTAGTAGAATTAGTACGAGTCGACCAACCCCCGCCTTCCAATTACTCGCGTTTAGTTGCGTTTTTCCGCCCGAATGCCCCTTCTATGATACACTCGCACACTCGAGCCACGCTTTAGTTACCCAAACCCACTCACCCTCACATTCGAAATGGCTCTTGCACCCCCGAGCCCACCCCCTATACATATATCTATTACCCACCCCCTTGGCGCAAACCCATATGCACCTGACCCGTTAGCTCGACTCCGCGTGTCTGTACGGCGCGCGCGCGTTTCGCAGCTACGCAAAGGGTGGCGATTGACAGGGTGCCAGAGGCCAAGGATTGCCAATCAAATTCTCAGCACAAAGCTCATTCCGCTGCCTAACTGCTGGCAAAGTTAAACCCTGATAAAATACACTATAACGCGACGCTTGTTATCGATCCACTTTAAAGCGTCGCAGAATCTATATATATATATATATATATATATATATATATATGTAGAATGAAGATTAAATGGGCTAAAAATGTATAAATTAAAATATTCAAATACGTGTGAAATTGAAAAAAAAACATTGTCCAGTATTTTGAAAATTTGTTAAAAAATTTTTCTTCGTTTCACATGTTTGACATGACGTTTGACATAGAGTCGAATACTTCCTGCCAAATTTACGTTCGAATGGCGCCCCGTTTACGTTCTCGACAGATGCGAGTAGAATTTCGGTGAAATCGATGATCCGCTTATCGAATGGCATATGTTACTTCCTCGTTACGTATCGCGTACGTAGTGCGTATCCGTAGTGACGTATCAGAGAAAAATAGTTATGGGTTCGTCGTACATAATGAAACGAATGGCCCTCTCGTTGCTCGAGCCAATCACGTGACGGAACACCTGCGAATTTGGAGCGATAAACAATGCCGCAGAAAACGACCACGTAATAATATAATAACAAAATATATTGTCCTGACCTGAAACATGAAGTCACGCTAGGGTTTCTGTCCGCCACATTAGACATGCATATCTTACGCTAAGAAATAAGTGAAAATATGCTCAGTCGGTACAGTCGACTGGGATGAAAAAATTTTCAAAAAAAAAAAAAGTGTTATAAAGAACAATCGTACCTATCAAATAACTTCGTGACCGTGCAATAAAATCTAGTCTGTAACACGCGGAGGATGTAAGAATGAATAATTATACAAAAATATGAGGGGGCTATCGGAGAAAAAAAAATTTGAAAAAATCAAAGAATTAATAAAAAAAAAAGACAAGGAATAATAAGAAAAATAAATATTTCATTAGACTGTACGCCACGATCTAAAGTCTCAGGAGAGAAAAATGCGAGCAGAGAGTCTTCGGGCACCACCTAATACGTGTTACCTCTTAATGATAAGCTATCACGAGATCTAGCCTAATTATTCATTCCGCCCACCGAATTCATGTTAATCCAGAGGGTCGCTCGGAATAAGGTTTTTAACGACTCCCTAATTTTTCCGGTGTAATCTATTCGCCTCGGATACATATGTATTACCTATCCGGTGAAAATGAAAATCGTCAACCGTTCCGTCAGTGGTACCAATCCACCAGTGACATATGCACCCGCAAGTTGCCGCCCTGATCGGTTGGTAAGTCAAAGCGGAAGAAAATTTGCCACACGTGAAGGAATCGTTACGGAATACGGTAGCGTTAATTTCAACGTGATTCCGAAAAATTACTGGACACACACGAAAATCCCTAGGACCTTAATTTATCCCTAGGCTACTCTCCACGTAGTATACGAAGATCTTTCTCGCCGTATGAAACAGCCATTACCTCTGCGTAACGTACGTGTAACCGGAGCCGCGTTACTCCGTTGGAGTGTGCTTTGTAAGTCTGAGATCTTAAGTTTTTTTTTTTCTTTTCTTTTTCATATGCCACAGGGGCGGATGAAAGGGGGTGACTTGACTCGTGTGATAGGAAAGAGTTCGCATGTCTCGTCGAGGCGGTCTCCGCGGTCACATCAGTCTCCGAGCATGCAAGCTCCAACTAAATCCGCCATTATGTACACAGGGGTACATTGCTGCTTTCTGTAAGGTGGCCGGTATCGCTGTATTATACAGACATACCTATATCCACCCCTCCGATGATTGCTGATATGACATGCGACCCTCTTGGATATAGGGTGCACGACATACCTTAGCCACGGACCTCTTTTACTTCCTTCCTTCCTTCCTTCCTTCCTTGCTTCTTTTATTTTCTTTATTTCTTTTTATATGTTCTTTATACGTTGTGTATATATATATATATATGTATATATATATCAACATCGTACACGGTATATCTATATCCCGTGACTTTTCTTGGTATTAGGATGATGTTAGGATTTTTAGGGCTAGATTCAGGAAAATGGGGGGTGGTAGGACGGATCGTGCTGGATAAGGGATGAAATGGGTACGATAATGGAATAACGTAGAAAATGTTATTAAGGGTCGCACGCGTGAACTTTTACGAGCGGAAGGGGTGCAATTAACCAAAACAAAAAAAATAGGCCTAAAATCGTGAGGAGTAATTTTTTTTCTTGGCTGTACAATCTTTCACGATTTTCTATCGCGATCTTTCGCTTTTCTATTGGCTAATGATTTTTGGCCGGTTGGTCCCGATGACTGTGATCGAGCGGTTCGTTAAGGGATGATTTTTTGGGAATTTCAAAGAAAAAATAAATTTCTGTAATCGAAGAACTCGCGATTGCTGTGCATTTCTGTTTACCTGCTAAGGTGTATCGTTGGACTGTATATGTATATGTACCAATAGTGAAAAATTACGTCAGTCACACACGCCACTGCGCAACCAAGATATAAAAAAAAGGCCGAGGATTCGCACTTGCGAAAAAGTCCCAGCTACTACTCATCGATCGGTTTTCGCCACTGTGTATAAGTATATGCAAAATGCGTATACGTAATATATGAATATATATGCGTTGGATGTATTATATTAATTTTTAGCTGAGGGTCGTGCGAAGATTTTTTTTTTCAAAAAAAAATATCTAATACGTAAGGATCGTGAGAGCACTGAAAGAGTAATCGGCAAGGACACAGATATAGGTACTCGTGAAGGATCGATAAGGGTAGTATGGGGGATTGGCCTTTTAGCTAAGGGTCGAGGAGGAAAGCGAGTGGTTTTTATAGCCAGTAAAGGACAGGGAGGGTCCTGTATCCTGGGGATACCCTTCTCGACCGGAGTATCCCTAATATACGTCATCCGTTAACGGCACTTTCTTATGTCGAGTAGCCTGGCCCTTTTTATATATATATATCTCTCTCTCTCTTTCTCTTATCAGTACAAATGACTATTTCTGTTTCTGTCTCTCTCCTTTAGTCGAGTGGTCAAATTCCTCTATACCCCGTGATTCAGAGGCAATCCCGAAGTCTCGATATTCACTGGCGGATCGGCGAGACTCATGTATGACTTTTGGAAAAAAATTTCTAAAAAATTTTCTAGGGATGTATTTTTTCCTTTTTTTTTATGGCAATTTTAGAAAAATGTCGAGTAACGGAAAAAAAAGATTTTTTAACAATATCTCAGGGTGACCCTTGGTACTTGATCTGGGGACAAGTATCGATATGTCTTGATAATAGACTTTGGGTCGATCAACCCTAGACTTTTTTTTAGGGAGGTAAAAAGGGTCGATCGGGTATCAAAAGTACGTACAATTACCTTATATGGTATTTTATAAAGTAGGGGGAAAAAAGTAGTTCGATATGCATATATGTTAGTGGTCTTAAAGTATTGGTAAAAAAGGGATGAAAAGCAATATATATACACTTATAGACGCATATATAGAATATATATATATATAGCAGCACTGACCGTGACGCGAGCGCAGAGTTAAGCGATAATGGCTGTACGGCTTCGGCCGGAGTTTGCTCTTCGAGTCCGGACGCTTCACCTTCTGCCGTCGCGATTGTAAAGTTGGCGAAGGGAGGTCTCGTCAGGAAGGGAGATTAATTGAATAGCAAGTACACACTCTTCAGGGCCGTGCCAATTTCTCCATAGCTATTTCTGCATTCACTTGCAACGCGAAGCAGTCCAACTTCTAGTTGTGCTTGAAACGACTGACGTGCAATAAGGTTGCTTCAACAGATACAAGTAACAGTCTGACAAATAAAAGACAAAAAAAAAGTGTATCAAAGAAAAGATGTAATAATTAAAAAAATGTATCTTTACTTGATAAAAAAAATTTATTTCTCCCAGTCTGCGAAATTATTTCAATTTACTCTTAAGCCCCATCCACACCGTGTGTCCAGAATTATTTTAACGCCATACAGTATCGCTACGGTACCAACAATACCAAAAGTATCATGAACTGGATGACAAGCACCTGCTCTTTGTATCACATGAATACTACAAGTACTGTGTATTGATAACGGTTATCACTTACCCTATCTGGATACGTGCTTGACTATGGATGCTGGATAGATTTTTTTTTTGGGTTTCACGTTAATACAGTTCATTCTGGTGAAGTTCAAGTATGACTAAGCCTAAAAATTCACAGTGGAAATATATATATATATATATACAGTAAAGCTTTACAAATGTTTCGTGCAAGTGAAGCACGTGCACGTAGAAAACAAAGCAGAGTCTGCGTGTACTTAAAAGAAATAAGTAAGTCGATGGGAATGGCGATAGTGTGTTGGTACTCCTGGGTAGAACCGTTGGTACAGCATTGGCAGTCCCTGTCGCTGCTCGTGACCAGGTCCTCATTGGTGCGTCGTTGTCGCAGCCGCCTGCCTTCTGCAACGCGAAGAAATATACGAGATGGAAAGTTCGCGTCACGGAGAGTCTAAAGTCAGTTGGAGCGTTGGTGTCGTTTTACATACGTGCACCTACCGAAAACCGAACCGCGACGAAATTCCGCGTGCGTTTCTTCGCGGTGCTCATTAGGGTTACAGTACCGTGATAAATGTGGGCACGAGATGCACGTGCGCCTTAACGGTTACTGTCCGTGACTTTCACTCTGAATAATTTTTTTGGATCGATGGATTTTTTTCGTTCAAAAATTTTTTTCGACTGACGTGCGATTTAAAAAAAAATTTTTTTTTTTTTCCTATTCTCAAAATATTCAATTGCGGACCGGCGCGTCGTTCCAAGCGAATATGCAATTTTAACGAATAATTTATTCCGCAGGTACCGTACCCTACCTACTCAGCCAGTAAGCTGAACCGGCCAGCCGTTGCGAACGCGGATTTACGATTTCTCAGATGAAAATAAACCTGGACCGTTTAGAGCCACCATACTCCCACTGCATCCAGATATATTTCCATGGACCAGAATGACTCTTGTAATCGGCGCCATAGCGTGAGTCTCGGCAGTTCTCGTTAAAATAACAGCTACTTACGATTTGAGAAGCTCGTATGGTTTCGCTGTACGTACTTGATCCGCCACTGGTATTCGAGACTTGGTTGAAACTCGAATTAAGCAGTTTCGAACGAGGTGGATAAAATTTAGAAAAAAAAAACATGTATAAAGAAAAAGTCAATATGGAAGTACAGTCAGTTATTTTTTTGTTATAAAAATAAAATTCATTGAGTCAAATGGCTGAGTTACAATTTTGAGTTTTTCATCAGAAATTACATTCAAGCTCATTTCCAATTGGCTGCTATGAAATTTTGCGATTTCAATCAATGGCAAGTATATTTGAGATCGGGATAAGCATCGATCGCAATCGAACGTCTCGGGACTGTTTGTGCGTCCAATATCCTGAGTAGTATTAGTATCGCTTGTAGTAGTAGCAATAATACTAGTAGCATATAACCACTGTACTCGCGCACGACTTGTTTGTTAGCTCGAGACGTCAACGACGGAATTGAATAACGATCTGAGAACGTGGGCTTTGGAACTTCGCCCCTTATGCCCATAAACTTGAAATACATTGCTGATACAAGACTAGTCTATCAGACTCGTGTATAACGCATACCTGTAATCGTCTTGTATAGTGATTACAAAAAATAAAAAGGAATTCAAATAATCGTCAAGTAAACGCGCATAGATTAAGCAGGTGACAGGCAAGTTCATACATATATAATACAAAAACGTGACCGTGGAGGGTCAAGTAAAATGTCGGCAGTTGGTTAAACTTAAGGAAAAAAAAAAAGAAAAAAAATTTCACTGTACCAAATGTGCACCTGCAGGTCGAGCAAGGTGTAACACGTAAATTTGCGTGTCTTAAAAAAATCAAACCGATAAATCATTTTGTTGGAGTGAAAGATTTGTTTATAAAAAAAACAAGGACAAAAAGTATTTTTTTTCTTCAAATTATGGATTTTTGAATTTGCGAAGCATGGGTCAAGGATATGTCGAATCAGTGATGAAAATACGGTGCAAAGTCAGGAACGACGAGACGAATAAGTCGAATAATAACGAATAATAACGAGTCGAATAAGGGTGGTTGGTGAGTGCGTGAAGTCTGGGCGAGGGTGGGGGGGGGAGAGGTGGCGGGGGTGTGAGACTGGGTGAAAGGTGCAGTGGCGGTGGATCAGGGCGGAGCTGCGCCCGGGGGGTGCGCGACGGGTCTTCGAGGGAGCTTCGGAGGAGAGAAGCAAAGCGGGTCGTGGGGTCGTGCAGGTGCGAGGAGGACGAGACTAAAGGCAGCGGATTGAACGAAGCGGCAAGTAAAGCGGCGAGTTAAGTGAAGTGAAGTGAAGTGAGTAACCGTCATTTGGTTTCCTGCAGAGTGCCCGATGCGCCGCGACGCTCGCGAGACCTGGAGAACCCGTCGGATTAGAGCGCGAGGAACCTCGGCCGAGGGTAGATCCGGCCTGAACCATCGAGCACGTGCGTTCTGACAGATAACCACGTGTTAAATAATAGGCGAATAGATAATTCGTAAAAATCAACAAAGAATCCACGTGTCCCCGAACGATACGGTAAAACTAAAAGAAACACTGAAACCGTACAGCCGTACACACAAGTGCGTCCATACACGAGCGTCTGGCGGTGTATTAAAAAAAAAAAAACAAAAAAGTTGATAATTTCGAAAATAAAAAAAAAATGTCAAACTCAACCGTGATAAAAGGAAAGAAGAGAAGAGATATTTTTGAAAATCCTCCGTGATTCGTAAGAGTCCATAAAGCACGTAATCGTCAAGTCTGGAACAGCGAGAGTCACGAGTGCCAGAGGGTGACCAAGGGGTGTGCGGGTGAGGTCGTTATAGAAGGGTAGGGTTGAGAAGAAAAAAAAGGTCGTAGGACATCAGGAGTCAGGAGAGTGGCAAAACCCGGACACGGAGACAGCGGCAGATCATTGGTGGACAGGAGTCTGGCGCTGAGTAGTGGGGTCGGGCTCTTACTCGGTTCAGGTGGGGAAGGGCCTGAAGAAGACGAGGCTGCCGGAGGGAGCTGGTGTTCGCGTTGTTGCTGGTGCTGTTGATCGTTGTGGTGGTGCTGGTGGTGGTGGTGCTGGTGCTAGTGGAAGGGATCAGCGCTTACGTGGAGGAGGAAGAAGAAGAAGAAGGAGGAAAAGGTGTAGGTGGCTCTGGAGGAGGTTCGGCAGGAGGAGGTTCAGGAGGAGGCTCAGGAGGACGAGCCAAAGAAGGTGGAAGAGGCCGGAGGACAGAAGTCTCTGTCGGAGAACGGATTCATCGGGTCAGGATCAAGGACGGGTTGGCCGCCGAGTTTGGAAAATAGATACAGGAGGTTCCGCTAGCCGTAGATCCAAGGGACAGAGAAGAGCCAGCTCGAGGTAGATCCGACCTGGGATATAGGGATAAAATCGCATCTGGACCCAAATCGTCCTCCTCCGTTGTCTACCTGGAAGATTTAATATCGAGGATCCTAGACGTCCGTGTGTCCTGTGATATATTTCAATTGACTGTATCAATTAATTGTGTTATCGTATTTAAGCACCAAAAAATTGCCACGGACAGGATTACAAGTGATTGGCTATACTGTTGTTCGGCCGGGTACGACTACCGTCGCTGCCTTGAAAATTCTTGTCGCTCGTTCGAAACAGTGAGAAAGGATAGTTCAGTTGGGCCGCATGGCTCCCGGCATTCGGACCGAAGTTATTAGTGTTTTGTTTTTCAATTTTATCAGCGGAGATCAGCGATGAGATCCAAGCCGGTCGCCAGGAGACTTGCACAGGGTGAGTACGGTCATTGGAGATATATGTATACCATTTATTTAACATTCGCACAGAGCATCCATTACACGTACGTTAACCGTAACTATTACTGCGACGTGCAATGTTTCTCCTTTTAACAGTCCGCGCACTCGCTGCACTTAGTACCGAGAGACGATTAATGTCAATCTCAGTGCGATACGGGATTTTAATTAAAGAGCGACTATCGTGCTGTCCAAAATTACGGTGGCTGTTAAAAATCCGTCCTGCGCCCAACGTGATAGAAGTAAATAAGCGCCCGTGCAAGCAGATTGATTTCTGTTTCATCGGTCGCGTATCGTGGACGATTTCGTTACGGCTACCATACGGGACGGTTATTACGAAGGAATGAGTGTTACGCGTTCATTATTATTCTTATTATTTTATAAGACATTTCAGAAGATTAATGACGCGTTCCTAGCACCGATCCTCGATTATTACACCGTCGTCTATCCCAGCACTGAGTTTACGTAATCGGGTCCTTCCTTTGATTCCTCCTGCGCCCGTTACATTGTCGCTCGGTGGAATCCTTTGAAGATCAAAGTATCCCGGAAACGTAAAAATAAAAATTTTCCAACAAAAATTGATATCGCGACTGTTTTGGTGAAAACTTGAAAAAATTCTATTTTCGAATCTTTTTTTTTTTTTTTTTTTATTATTTTTCCAATTTTCACCCATTCCTTATCGTTCGTTGTCGTTATTCTTTCCTGACAGTTGCCACCCATGAATTCTATCCGTGACCAATTACGTACAAGTGGGATACGTGATGATACCGGGAGTGAAAATCTGGCACACGTATTCATACTTCTAGCAGCTATATGTATATATATATATATATATATATAGACGTACTAGCGTGGTAAAGTAGGTTCGTGATAACGTGATAAGTGCCGCGTCACATACACAACTAATATCACGAAGTATACGAGAGTCATTCTCGAAGTAGGCGGAGCGCAGTGGACGCGTGCGCAAGTAGCGATATTCCCTCGTTTCCCTGTCTTGTCTAGTCAGTGAGTTCGTCCTCCGCGTTTGCGTCACCCTCTAGTCGTCTGCCTGGTAGCAGCCAAGTCCCGCCTACCGTAGCGTAACGAGAGCTCGAAGATAAAACAGAGCATAACAATGGAATTCAAAATTGTTAAGATGACAAACATCTGTGAGGTGGGTAGGAGAAAAG